TCAATGCTGCAGAGCCTGATTTGGGGTTTCGGGGTTGATTTGTTTGGGGTGTTTTTTTTTTTATATTTACAGCAGACAAGGAAGTAACTTGATACAGCTTCGATCATCAGAAACATGTAAAGCACCTCAGTGTACTTAAAACAGTTGGATTGCTTTACTAGCTCTTTTAACCTCAAAACATATTTAAGTGTGGTTACAATACTGGCTTCGACCTGCATACCTATGCAGTTCAGAGTACAAAAAATGCTTGCATTCTGTTTGTCATGACTACGTTGGCAAAAGACCTTTACATTGCCAAAGGCTTCAACTTTTCCTTGAATGTGGCTGACTTGATCTGGGGAGCTGGTTTAAAACCAATGCCTGAAGCAGTTGCCAGGAAATTTGCCAGCAAAACTATACTGTCAAACTCTTATATGCAGAATAATCTCTAACATAGGCATAGCCTGATTTTTTTTTTTTTTTCATTTTAAAAGGAGAATCCACTGGGGAGGGGGGAATATAATGGGGTAAGAAACAAGAAATCTTGAAACTTTTGAAGTCCATACAAACTAACATGGTAGATTCAAGCAGGCAAGGTAATGTTCAATACTGTAGCTGTTTGACATATGTATGGTCCTACGGAAATGGCCAGGATTCCTCTTTGTAGGTCCCTGCAAAGTTCTACCCTCTTTATAGGCAGTGGCCATTTTCAGTTACACAGGTGCCTATGTGTATTCATCTTTAGAAGCATCAGTTTAGATGTTTCCATGTTGGCACTTGCAAGAAATCAACGTAAGTAACACTGTACTGATCTCTGCCATTGGTTTTTGTACCTTTTTGGCTTTCCAGAGTTCCAATATTGGCATGCTAGCAATAACAGAATCAGGGTTTTCCTCTGCTGCTGAGTTCACTATGTCATTTGCACCAGTGACCCGAGCCAAGTCTGTATCTGAAACAAAAAGGAACTATATTAAAAAATGTGTTACTATGAAAGGAAAAGCCACTGCTTCAAGTTATCAAGACAACACCAAAGCGCATTAATCAAGCATACAATAAATGATGACAATTTGTTGTTTCATCTGAATTAAAAGAATTAGGTCCATCTGTTGATCTTCAAACCTAGAATCAAATCTTGGCAGTGACATGTGCTAACAAAAACTATTAAAAAAATTTTGTGCATTCTCTGTGTAAGATACCATGAAAATAAATACTCCTATAATTTAGAGGCAGTCTTACGCAAGGCCCTAGTGAGGTCACTAAATACAGCACAAATGTGGAATCTGAGGATGATATCCACTATGTTGTACCACGTAGTTTATTTCAACACTGCTCACTTACAGTCCAAATCTACAATCTCTGTTTGGTTCAGTTCCAGTTCCATAGCTGCATGCAAGGAGCATTCCATTTACAGACAGTCCATTGTAGGTCCAGGAATTAGCCTTGCAGTAGAGCAAGCAATTGCACAGCTTAGGTTAAGATGGTAGAACATACCTCTAAAAATTGTCAATAGTTCCTTCTAGTCAGTGCTGGCGAATGGTGAACTACTGGAGAAACTACTGTGACATCTAAATGTGACATCTGCAAAAGCAGCAGTGACTCATCTGCCAAACACACCCATGTGCCTAGCAATTTTCGTTCTTTTTTTTAAGAGTTGCTCACAGTTTGCCCAGAGAAGTCAAGTTTAATGGTCTGTACATCTGTTCGGTCTCCTAGAGTCCTTATTAAAATCAGCATTACATTCCAGCTCCCATTCCTGTTAACCTTTTTAACAACAGGGCTGGCTATGCCTCCCAGGAGCCTGGCAACCAGAGAAGGCAAGGATGTCCTGGCTGTAACAGAACTGATTTTTATATCTTCTGCAACAGGCCTCCAAGTAACTGAGAGGCATGAGCCAAAGGAATTTAGTGTACTGTTACATAGAGAACAGCCTCCAAGTGAAAGACAACCAACCATAGGTCTACTTTGAGAAAAGGGGAATAAAAGCAGTCTAATACAGAAACATTAGTTTTCCCTGCCAAGTTCCTATAATACGTGGAAATGTAATGTCAACAAACTATCAGATACAACAATGCAAGCAGATCAGCCTCATTACAGCAATGAAGCTACTGCTATTTCAGTCATTTATGAAAGGTGGATACATCATCTTACCTTCCCAGACTGAGTTTACAGGATGGACAGTGAGTGAGAAACATTTTAAGACTGTCAGCTGAAAAGATTTGAGATGGAATCTTCTCAAAGGTAGTAAATTCAAGATCCCATGATATTCAATTTAGCTTGTAAATCTTCCTTCACAAGCTATCATCTGCATATTTGCTTGGAACAAAATAATCTCATTTGACTCCCACCTGTTAAGCTGGGTCCAGAAATGCAGAGCAGCTCTAAAACAGATAAAGCAGTGAAGATTTTTATGCAAAAGAAATACAGCCAGTGCAAGGTGATACAAAAATCTGAGGAGGTGCTGTTGAAATTAAAAGATCCCTATCTGTCAGTGGCCTACATAGGCTCTGGTTTAATAGTTGGCTGCCTCAGGAGAGGGAAGCCTAGAGGCAGTATAGAGCCATTTTTTGCCTTTCTTCCTGATGCTACAGATCATACACATCTCCAGAGAAATAATCACAGCTGTTACAGCCTTCGTTACTTATGCAGTATGGAATATATTAGGAAAGATTTGCCGTACTCCCAAACTTAGAACCTATACAGAAAAAAGTGAAAATTAAAACCACAAATCATTAACACTCTGAACACTGATATGTGTATGTGTATGTGTGTGTGTGTGTGTGTGTGTCTGTCTGTGGGTGCTTTTAACACTGCTGCATTCTATTTGGAATTCAGTATTTTACAGCAAATAAAGTCTCTGACCCTTTTAAAAATAATTTCTTTAATCTTCAGGGGAAGAGTATATAAACATCTTGACTAACAATGAATTTCCAGGACTTTGAGTGTTTTCTGTTGGATTTTTTTAATGTGACTACACAAAAACAACAGCACTTAACATTGCTCTGTACAGCAGCCTGCTTTGCTGGGGGAGGCACTTTGGCAGTTCTCTCCCTCTTTTTCCATATCCCTCTCCTTTCAGAGGCCCCTCATCATGATGACCCATCCATTTGGCTAAGGGCTTCATGCAGCTGCATCTGAAAGAAGCCAACTGTATTCTTGGGTCAGCTGGAGAAGTCTGCCTGATTACAACTGTAGGTATATACAGTGCTTGTAACACCCACAAGTTGGGGAGAAAAGGCCTAGGCTCACCTGAGCTTCCAGCAGAGTGCAAGACATACCAACCACCTACACAGCAAGTTCTCAATAGCTTCAGGCAATCAGTGCATAAAAATTGTTTTCTTTAAGGATTTTTGCCTGCATACTTGGAACCATAATCTTTTGCTCACATGCATTCATAAAACACTATAACTTCTTGCAATTTGTTGCAGATTGTTTGCAAAATGAAAGAAGAATGATTTAGCGGACACATTTCAACTCAGTGGCTCTGATGTCCTGTAGATGGGATGTGTGAAAACTGAATGTTTCCTCATCTCTGTTAGTGTTTTCCATTTATAGTTATCCTACAGAAATTAAACTCTTCTAAAATAGCGTGGCACAACCTTTTTGGTTATTGTTGCAAACTGAAAATGAACATTTGCCAAAGCTTGCCATTCTTAGGGGAATCTGAGTGAACTACCCTGCATAAACCTCAGCAGTGCTGGGTTACGCATTTTTAGGAAGAGCAAGATATTTTTTATTTTATGAGAATTAACACAACGAGGGACTAACTTCAGTGACTTCACCTCATATTTATTTGTTGTAAACTAAGATTTGCACCCAAATGCGCTGTATCCTCAGCTCTGTGCTAGAGACCTTCGCTAGTTTTTAATATGAAAAAATTCCAAGCAGGGTTCACAGATAATAAAGTGAGGCTCATTGAGGGCTAATCATAAACAGCAAGTCTGACATCATAGCTGGAATATATATCAACAGTAAAGCTTCAAAATTCTAGGATATGACCAGTGTCATAAGCGTGATGAAAGGAAGAGCAGTGCAGTTTTAGGTCTAGGGTCTTGATCAGCCCTTGTGCCCTGTGCTGTATCATCACACACATGGCATAGTCCTGCCAATATCTATGCTGTGTTACCAGGTGTGACACTTGTAGTTAAGCAGCTTTTTTCATTAGAACTGTAATTATGGTTGTAGATCACTACATCACAATCAGTATTCAGCTTTCACTAATGTTGCATACTTCCAGGACACCGAATTAAATGGGTTTACAGGTGACAAGTAGGCACTAAGTCACAAAAATGTTATGCTTTTTAAATACATCTGAACAAACGGTTTCACTGCAAACACTGGAAAGAAGAAATAAAGCCTTGTGTTTTGTGACCAAACATTTGTTACAATCCCTTCTTAGCTTTTATTGTATTTTGAGTGTCCATAATGCATATTTCCAAGTCTCTTGCATATTTGTACATCACTAAAATAACAGTTAGTACTTAGCACTAGTCTGCAACAGACAAGAAAGCAAAATCTGTGCCCTGTAACACTTAAAATCAAGGATAAAATCTGGCATCAAAGAAGAGTAGACTTGTCAAGGTGAAGCTCAGCAATGCTTTAATAGTGTGCACTCAGGTAGTCTGCAAGTAAGTGACTTGGCAGGCTTAGGATTTCACAATAAAGAAAGCTGGTACTCTTCTGGGAAGCTCGGGATACTCCAGCTTCCACAGAAGCAGACCATATACATAGGAACAGAGATGATTAGGCATGATCTTAGAGGTCTGTATTTATGGGCAAAGCCCAGGATGGTATAAACTGCTAACATCAGATGAGACACAGGTCGCATATAAGGAGGGAAGAGGTATTTAACAATTTTAGTATTTACATAACAAGCACGAACTGGATAGATTCAAATTAAGTCGAAACAAGAGTCTGGCGTGGTTAAAGGAAGAGTGAAATGTTATGCAAGACCCCAGGTAAGTTGAAAACCCTACTACTGAGTAACTGAACCACAAATACCTCAACTCTCATCTGCATAACAATAGAATTGGTCTCCTTTATCATTTCAATAGCTTGGTCTAACCCAGTTTCAATGCAAGTTCCAAAATTCCACACGTTTCCTTCCTGCTGTAGATGCTGTGACATATCCCCCCAAAACACGACATTTGGCAAAGATCTGATCATGGCCTAAAGGTGAACATATTAAATGAGCATATTGGTCAAAACAGCAGTTCCAAGTCCATGAAAAGAATACCAAAATAAATAGTTCATTTGCTGTTAGTTCCCATGTAGTTTGTTTGAGAAGGCAGACTGCATATTCTTCAGCTCATTAAAGTTTACTTTAACAAGCTGTGAAGCTGATACAGCAATGGTTCAACAGTTCAGTACTGCATGGCCTTTTCCTTTTTTTTTAAAGAAAAAAAAGCTTCAGCATCCCACTTGGCATAAAAATCACATATTTCAAACAGATTTTCAGATACACCTTTGAGAAAATACTGTTTTCCAGCCCTTTTAAAACTATTTTTCTTCTCCTCCCTAAACTACCTTAACATGTTTCCCTAGCAAAACAAAGATGTTCTTTGTTTAAATAACATCTCCTGTCTTGCTTGTTATGAAACAGCACATTTAACATTTCCCATTTCCTCAAAGTCAGTTGCTGGGTGAGATCCTTCAGTGAAAGCCATGCAGCATTTTATAATATATTACCTTACATTGTTGGTTTTATGAGTAAATCACATTGCTGCTATTGCTTTTCCTAGTTGTTTTTAAAGTTCAAGTGACAGATTCAGTGTACTAGGAACTGTTTATACACAGAACAGCTAGAACTTGGGCAAACCTATGCAAGTTCTCTTAGGGTGTAAGACCACCACTCTGATATGAAGGAATCAACCCTCCCAAGGCCAATTTAATCCTCATGCTGATGTACAAGTGCCAGTCAATACCCAGTCCACCATGCCTGTGACCAGCCACAACTGTACTTGTTAGCATGCTTACACTGTTCAGTGATGTGCCACGTGGAACTGCTTGAGCTCTTCGAGCACACACATACTGCTTGCAATCCTTGAGTTGGCTGGATATCTCTATACAGCTCCACATCATGCAACCCAGACATGCTCTCGTTTCTTTGCTGTTCTTGGCATTTAAGGAGTTCATTGCCAAACCCTAATTCTAGAAAACCCACCAGACATCTATCCAGTTGTAACTTTTCATTATTTACTACCATTATGAGCAAAATTGTCAGGGAGCCAGTCCAGTCATCCAATCTCCTGCAACATCTTATTTATTTTTGAAAGTTTCCAGAGTAGACGCCCTGGTTTTATTTCACACAGAAAAGGGGACAAACTAGTGGTATGTCCTTACCACACACACAGCACATGACAGAATAGCTCCATCCAGAGGAACAAGTCAAGAAACCCACAGTTGTCAAGACTGTTGTCAAGAAGTTCTGCTGCACCCAAGGTTCAGCCAGAGTAACTGGTATTTTAGTAACAGGCATATTTGCTCCACCTACAGCTGTCAGTGTCAGGCCCTGGAATTTACTAAACACAAAAGGGGAAAAAGATAAATTAACATTTCAAGAAATTATAATTCCTGAAGAATTAAATAAGTGAAACAAAAGCTAATAAAAGTTCATTCAAGCACCCAGTTAGCAGAAGATTGTCACCTTTGATCATTATTGGGTTTGGTCATGTAAGCAGATATGCCTTTTGAACTTTTGATGAAAGATTATACAGCCTTAATAGGAGCTGAAATCATTTGTTATTTTGCAGGACAAGACCTTATTCTTTCCAAAACTAGTCCACAGTTACAGCAATGGCTAGGATTACATATACATCTGACTAGATAAACATCCACAGCTTATTTTACAGCACTGCTGCTGGCTAAAAAGTTTTGGATCCCTGCAGTGTGGTTTGTGGGATCCTGAAGGGTCTTGCAGACTTGTTATGGAATTTCTATAGGGCTAGATAAACATTCTGCAGAGTACTTTGTTGATTCCTCATAATTTATGCCAAATTTTTCAGCTAATGTGCAAGGCTACATTGTGGCTAGCATTCAGCAAGCACTGGATGTGCGTGCAAAAACCTTACATTTATTTGCAATGAAGAGGTCCAAAAATTGCTCTCTTGATACTATTGCCATTATCAAGGGGAGTCCTCTAACACCAAGATCACACACTAATGCAGGGGTGCAGCACGGATCCAATGTAGCAATCATCATACTAGCCATGGATGCTGTGATCAAGCCAGCATTCAACTGATGGTGCCTAAGTAGAAATGGTGCCATGTTCAGCTGGAAGTGAGCATGGCTACTCTAATGCTGTACTGACTTCAGTACTAAAATACTTCAATGCTAAAGTGCTGGAATTTAAGATAGACTACAGACACAGAATAAAAATATCAAAGATACTGGGCTCCTTGGAAATTAGTTTAGCTGGAAGACGAAAGATCCACTTATTGCAGATACAAGACAAGAACTTAGTAATTTTTTTGGAAGGAATTGTCAGAAGTGGAAGTGTATCAGTTCCTATCGTTCTGAGTGACTCCTACTGCAGCCTATTAATTATAGGAAACAAAAACAGTTTGATATACGATTGCTTTGTAGTAGAAAATAGGACAAATTATTCATAACAAAAAGCTTCAATAGCTGTATGTCATCACAGTAGAAAATAATTGATACAGAGGGACCTAAAAGATCTTACTATAATTCCTCTAGCCATTAGTTGTTCACATAGGAATCTTAGGAGTAATGCTGTACGGAATCTAAGTCAGACTCTTAGTTAAACAAACACCCTCTAGACAATCCAGCAAACTAAATCCTTGAGACCAACATCAGCTTCTCTCCTAATCAACACAGAAGTCAGTCACCAACTTTCTTCTCCTTGTGTTCCAGTTCTACCAAATTTGTTAAGCTAAGTTGTATAAGGCTACTTCCCTACCCTTGCAAAGGAGCTAAATTAGCCCTTACCTCCTCCTAGGATTCAACTGTATTTTGAGGAAAGCAAAACAAGGCCTCTGATTCACCCTAATTTCATGTGACAGACTAAAGAGTACCCAGCAGTTTTCCAGAAGCCACTAAAACAGCACTGAATGCTACATCTCCATACAGTGGCCAGATATGCCACAGTTTTGAGAACCTTGGCAGAAGGGTAAACATCAAGGTGTGGATATTCCATCGCATACTTGGCAATACACATAAGAGCTGTTGCTGCCAAACCAACTAGACTGTGAAATGCAGATACAAGCTGAGGAAGGTCAGAGATTTCAATTCATTTTGCAATGGTAAGACCTGCAAAATTAAATGATTTAGATCCAAAACAAAATATTACACTGTGTTTCATACTCAAAGCATAAACAGACCATTGAGCAAGAAAAGGCTGTTTACTTTTTAATGCTGTTTTCCTTTTAGTACAATTAAATAGAAATATAATAGTTATAGGAAATTTTAACCTAATTTAAGTCTTTTCCAAAAATACATCGCTAGAACATTTTGAGATGACAGCTTGTAAGAAACAGAGCCAGAACAGCTCTTTTGAAGCCACTGTTTCTTACATATGGGAGAAAGTTGTGCAGATGCATCCGCCAGTTTCCAAATACATTTTGCCTACAGAGAACCAAGGCAGGCAAAATGGCTCTGAACACAATAGAAGACTGCTACAATCTAAGTGACAAACTGGCAAAGAAGTAGTACCTTCCCCTCTTCTCTCTTACCAAGTTACAGCCTCAACCTTTGAGAATGTCTGCTGGCCTCCATAGCATCAGATACAAAATCCTCAGAGATGCAGCATTAAAACTACATGCAATTTTAAAAATATTTATTTTCCTTCAAATTGATAAAACTCTAATTCAGATCAACTGTGGCAGTTCATAGATTCAAAACAAAAATAGCACAGCACACAACTGAACCAAAACACATCATCTGAAAACAAAACCAAAGGAAAAAAAAAATAAGAACATGTATCATTGCTGTACAAAGCTTTACTCTTTGTAAAAGAATACAAAGGCATTGGAAGGGTTTTAAAATCTGGAGGAGGAAGAAGAACCAATAGTTTATTTCAAAGATGAGAAAGGTTTCTTCTCAGTTTATTAATGCAAGTACCCATTTCTGATTGTAAGGCTCCTGCACATTCCTCCTTCCACATTTTCTGGTTTCTGTATTTCTTTGACATCAATCCACCAAGCGACCATGAAACTAATTAGCATCCCAGCAGCTCAGTTGCAGGATCCATTGACATATATTGGAGTACATGTTTTCAATTACCATCAACACTGTCATATTGTTTTCTAATATTAGTCTACTATGTCTCAACTACTGCCTCATTCTTTATTATTTTTCAGGCTTATTTCTTAATCCTCTGTATCAAGAGAAAAATACTTATCACATTAGTTCAAGATGAAAGATATTACACCTTTCCTAGGTTTGTCCAGTACCGGACAAATTTAAAACTGTTTTAGACACTATAATCCTCATGGGCAAAAGCAGTATATTTTATCAAATTAAATATGAAGTACACATTGTCTCTTATTTTGATTTTAGATGTTTTGATATTAAAAATGTTCTGAAATTCCTACATGACTTCATTTAGTAATCATGCAGACTTCCTTTGGTGTTTTAAAGAGCACATGGTGACAATTTTAAATAATAAATTGTCTGTTAACCTGCATCACTGAATGATTATAAAGTATGGTCAAAAATGATCAGAAAAACCCATGATGCTCAAATCGTAACTATCAGACAAATATAGCCATTGAACATTCTTGGAACATTGTAAAGGCCAAAGACCATGTGTTGGCTGGTATCCTCAAGAAATATTTATGGGCTTTTCAGAAGTCTAAATCCAAAAACGTAAATCTGACAGAAGGGAAACTGTCATATAAGGACATTAACAATGCTGAGATGAAGCAAGTTTTTATATATACTGTATCCTGAGAACACCTGAGGTTAAACAGACTAGCTGTATGATTGTATTGATGTGGCTTGTACTATGGCTTATGGAAAAGATGCAACATAACAAGCAGCAAGAAGTAACAAAATCAACTTCCCAGAACACATCTCAAGTATTCATACGTAAGACATCTAGGAAAAAAAAAAGTTAGCTTCAGGGATTTCACACCTTATCTCTAAGAAGCAACAATGCAGCATATAATTTTGATCCAGTGTTTAATTATTAGCCTGGTCCTCACAATTAATCAGGTCAAAATCTAAGTGTAAGAATGAAAGGCTCCTTTATTTGTTTGCAGAATATAAACTGAAAATACCTGTTACAGCTTTTAGTTCAGTCTGATCTCTGTCAGTCTTAAATATTTATTACTTTTTAAGATTTTATTCATCTATTCCCTCCATGCATTATAGCACAAAGCAAAATGCTTTACTTTATTCTTTTAATATACATGAGCTATTCTGGCATGGCAGTACAATATCATTTCAAAGAATGGGGTTCTAACATAAAACTAACTGTGAAATAACCGTTTGGAAAATAGCCTTTATTACTTTCTATATTGACTGCCATGTAACCTTCTAGTAAGTTCCAGGACATGCATCAGATTTCCCTCCAGCAATGGTACTGTTTGAAAAACTTTGAAGAATTAATGAAGTCCAACACCTCATTTCTTCCAGATTTAGTGCTGAAATATACCTCCTTTATCTGTCTTCTTTTAGTGCAAAATACCACCTTTCTCTGTCTATACTAAAGATAATTGCCAATTAGAATCTACCCCTAGGAAGAAATTGCTCAGTTTTAATAAGTTTTGAACACCACATGCATCAGGATGTAGATTTAAAAAAGAGCAGATAAAAGTAAATATTGTCTCTCTCCTGATGCACTTATAAACTAAACTAAATACAGATTGGTACTTCTGCAAATGAATTAAATCCTTTGATGAATGCTGCTTTGTAACTAACTGAACATTATGGAACTGGCAATGAAAGGCTGTTTTCTCTTGAATGAAACAGTACAGTCAAAGGAATATGCTCAAATAAGGACAGTAGAAAACAAAAAGGCTGTAAAATTGTCTCCCTGGCCCTAGGGATAACAAATTCCATGATCTAATGAAGAAGGGTGGCAAATATTTGCCCATATAAGTGAATGGTTTTCCTGCAGGGCCTAATTCTGCACATATCCCTTGTTCCTCACTGCTCGTAGCATTAATATTTCAGGCAGGATTAGGTTCTTTGCTTGCTCGTATGGCTAGGTTTGCTAGCACAGACCACTCTCCTAGTTTTGAATTACTTAACAGAAGAATGCTGAACATTGAATAACCTGTTCAATGTTATGTTAAATGGCATAGAAGGGTACCATATCCTCCTTTAAATGCTGCTTTAGGAAGAAGGCAGAGATAATCATATTCTGGAGTAAGTTATTGAAAAACATCCAGCATTCTGAATAATTAAGAAATCACCTGTTCAGAAATTAAATTTCACCTGTAAGATTAAAAAAAAAAAAATCAAAATTGTTAAAATTTTTATTCAGACAGAGCTCTGAGCAACCTGACCTAGCGGAAGATGCCCTTACTCATTGCAGAGGGGTTGGATTAGACAGCCTTTGAAGGTTCCTTCCAACCCAAACCGTTCTATGATTCTAAGAGAAGTTTCCAGCTGGAAACCCTACCTGTGGATGGGTAGTCTCAGTGTAAGAGTGGTCAGACTAAAATATGAAAGTGCATCTTGACTGCAGCTATTTCCAGTGAGTCTCTTGAATCAATTTACCTTAATCTATCCCTCTCTTCTATGCACATCTCTGCAAATATTTTTAGCTACAGGTTTTCCACACCTGAATAGTCAGTCTTACGATCCAGAAGTCCGTAATTATTTTTCACCTTCATGGTCAGCAAGAAGAGACTTCAGGGGCTGTCCTTTTTTAAAAAAAATAAATCAGGTTACTGATTTTGATACCTGATTATTAACAGAAACCTAGCATTAGACATACTGAACTTCAGAGATAAGTATGCTATCGGGAAAATAAGTCTATTATTATTCCCACATGCAGTTTTGCACTTCTATATCATGGCAAAGGCATGTGGTATCTCAATTAGACAAAGTAACCTAGCTACTTGTGTACCAAACAAAGATACTTGTGTATCTTTGGGAAACTTAACCTAGTAGTTTCATGACCTGAAGAAGCATTCTTCTTTTTTTAGAAACATCCTATTTGTCAGACAAAAAGGGTATTATGCAGATCCTGTGCAGATGAAAAAGCAAAGAATATAGACAGATATACCTGAGATGACATCAAAGTTCTCATCATGTCTTCTCACTATTCCCATTAATTCTCTTAAACATTTTTCTTCTTTAGTCATCTTGTCACTCACAGAAATATGTATATTTACTGTTGAGACAATGGGTATAAAGTTGATGCTTATATGTCAGTATTCCTGTATTTACAAGCAGTTATCATTATTTGGCAACTTTGGCTGCCAGTAAAATTTCTGTGTAGGAACACACACCATGGATCTAAGTAATATGAAAACAATATTATTTAGTGCCTGGAGTAAAAGTTTTGAGGCAGGAACTTAAATTGTAATTTCATTTGTAATTCACTTTGGGTAAGTCATTAATCTTGTTTTGATTTCTTGTAAGTCCCTCCTAATGAAATTGAAATAAAATCTCTCATAATGAAGTACACAACGTAAAAAAGCAGCAGACAATACACTCAGCAATAATAAATGCAATTTCTGGCATCAGAGGCAAATGGAGGCCAGGTGTGACTTCCTGGGTATTGTGATAACCACCATTCCAAGCAAGAACAAATCTCGTCACTATTTGAATAAAAGAAGGATTAGGATAAACAAGAGTCAGTCCTAAAATACATGCCAAACCTATAAAGAAAAAAGAGTATGCACTCAGAAGACTAAACCAGCACTTTTCTTTATTAATCATAAAACAAGGCACTGAACCCAAACCCTACTTCCACTGAAATGTCACTGACACCCATGACAGCAGAAGGCATTTCCTGCACGTGACTTTAAACATGCATAACTTGTAGACATTGTTTTTGCCAGAAAACTAACTTTGGAATAATGGAATCTTTGTCAAACTGAGGATGAATTGGGGACCCCAGGATCCAGCAGATGCATAGGGGACTGCCAAACTAGATTTCTTTAAAAAATATTCCACTTGGGCAAATATGGAGAAATAGTTTATTAAAAAAAAATAAATAAATATGTCAAATTCCCCAATGACTTCTCACAACCTTTACTGCTTTAGTAGGAATACAGACCACAGTGTAGCATCTGAACATTGTTAAAAGATGCAAGACCACACAAAGAGTTCAACAATACTTCCTTGGGAGAAAATATTATTGCTCCCAGTACTAGTTTCTTTGACCATATGTGTTAGTGGTTTAAGGAAATGTTTTTCCCTCTTTAGGAAAAGACTAGATCATTTAATCAATCCAAGATAATATAATATTTTAGAGACATATTTTGTCATCACTTGCACAATGTTTTGTTAAATATACCCAAGTATATTTACTGAGCAAATCATTGTACAAATATCTCAGATGAAGACAAAGCTCAGGGTAGAAACGTATCACAATCTCAATCTTGGAGATCGCATGAATTTAATTTTCAATTGGATTATCATTTTAGGAGGATTTTAATAAAAAAATTAAAACTTGCACGCAAATTGCCCAATATTAATCAAAGAGAACAGATCTTCAAACAAGGATGGTACTTTGGACAAAACATTTTAAGTCCATGACCCTGGGAGGAGGCAGTAAGAAAGGTCTTTCAGATGCTGTACAAAGCTTGGTTATGGAATGGTTTGTTAAGTGAAACAGACTTCTCTTTTTTTTTTTTTTCTTCCTCTAAGAAGGAAGAAAACTTTCTGTGCCACCAAAAATTGCTTTCCTTGAGTTCATAGATATTTCTATTGTTACTCATTTACCTTCAACAGGAGCTTTGAAGGTAGTGAACCCTTGAAAAGGTGTGCTGCATGTATCCTTCACTTCACCATTTGCATTATTCTTTTTTTCATTCTATCATTATTTTTAAAGACATTTAACACAAAGACTGTAACAATCTTGTTTATGAGAAAAATCTGATTCAACATAATCAAAACCTTGCTATATGATTCATTTTCCATTTCCTACATATATTTCAACACAGATAATGACATCTGGAGTTCTGCAGTATATACAGGCCCTAATCCAAAAGCTTTTGAGAACAGTCTATGTTAATTTTAATTGGCCCTGGATTGGGTCCCTAACCTATATGTTGGCTCTTTATTTCATACAAAATTAATATCAGAAGAAGTTTCTTGGTAACAAAAGGTATACAGTGATTCACCAAAGATCCCAAAAAGTTTAAATTTTAGCCTTCACTTGGAAAGCAACATGATGTTAGAAACCCTGATTTACCACCACCTGCTGCTTTTCAGTGTTAATCCACACTACCTTTCAGGATCTCATTTTATTTTTACATAATTATTCCTAGCATTGCTCATCATTTAAATGCCAAACTGGCAAGAAGAAACATGTATAAGTTAATTCCCTTGTACCTTTTATATAAATTCCAGTTGTGTCAACAATTTTCCTAGATTGTAAGAGTATGCCTCTTCCTATTCTTGTGCTTTTTTTTTTAATAGAAAGGGATACTATACTTGGGAAAGGTTATTGAAATAACACTTTACACCTCCTATTGCAGAACAAAACAATTAGGATGAATTCCTATTGTATCTTACCTTTCATTATGTTATGGAGGTACCCTTCAGAAAAAGTTCTGTCATGGTTACTTGTTTGTCCTTCTGAAACTAGTGGAATTACTCACATGAGCAGACAGAATGGGATTTGGTCTTGACCTTATACTGGTTACGAAAACCCTTTGTCTGTAAAATAGCACTAACCACTGAATTCAGTCAGCTGGAAAAACCATCTTTGTGTTCTTACTGCACCAGATTTGGCCTGATATATTTCATATGTGATACACCTAATACTGGAGAGCGGAAAAAAAAACCAACAAAAATACTCTCCCCTCAAAGTCAAAACCACACAGAAACACATAAAGCCCAGAAAACAAATGTTAAACAAGAAAACCTACCTAAATCCTAGATTACATTCCTTAAAAGCTGAACATGAATATGCTTCTTTACAAACACTTTCTTCGGAAACAGTAATTCCTGTCTGCCAATATTTAAATGTTTAGCATGGCTGTACTTTGGTTTAATGCTACCTGGAGGCAAATATGGATTCCTGTCAATCTCCAACTCACCGTGACTGCAGAAATTAAGCCTTCCTCTTTACTACATCCAAAATAAACTTAATTGAAAAAAAAAAAAAACCAAACAACAGTCTTGCATAAAGAAAATTGCAGCCAACATACAGGTAATATCAGTTCTCACAAATCTCCTGATTTAACTGCATACCTAGTTCCTTTTCTCTTCCCAGAATAAAGATCCAAAGGATGTAGAAAGATATGAGAGCTACTGCTATTACAACAGAGACTATGCAAGATATAGCCTAATGATGTCGTATCAGGGTTCAAGTACGTTTCATATTTTGAGGATAAATTCCTGCTTGTTCCACTCTACCTCTCCTGACCTTGGCACAAAGACATACTGAGTGTTGTCAAACCATTTGGGGTTGGAAGGACTTGCATTTCTTGAAGTCCTTTTGAGCTCACCTATTCCTACTTGTCAGCACTTTAGTTCAAAGCATATGAATTTGAGTCCATAAACTATCTTGCACTTGAAGTCATATTACTTAAGGCACAATTCAGTAGCCCAGGAGATAGGCTGATTCTTAGTAAGACATTCTTTAAAAACACAAGTTTACAGTACAACAGTAATTTTACAGATCAAACATTCTATAAATGTCTTTTTGCCCCATATTTTTGTGCTTGAAAGATGGAAGAAACTCCCACACATTATCATGTAGACATTGAATGATAATGTTTCCTTGGAATGACTAAACTAACAATCATAGCTTTCATACAACACAATTTATATGTTTTTATAAAAAAATTAAGTGGTGTTGAAACTCACCTTCATTACCAAAATTCCTTTAATGACATGATCAATAGCCCCATAATCTAAATCATCCTGTTGTTCAAAGCGAAAATATTCTTTCTTTCTTGGGAGAAACAGCTTTAATAATTTCAAGATGTTACTGGAATAAAGGCTACTGGCTTGAGTAGCCATTCTGTTTGGCAAGTCCTTGTAACCAGTGTTCACCACACCCTGATGAGAAAGAAAAGAAATAGTTGTCAAAGCTTTCACGTATTGGAAACTTTTCACATGTTCTCCACAGATCTGAAGCCTGTTTTATACATGCTAGTAAATCAAATTTGCATATTACTGCAGACATGAGTTACTAAAGCTTTCTTTTACAAGTTAAGGATTCTGTTTAAAACTAATAGCTTTCTCTGATGCATGACCAAAGAGAGTCAGCAGTTTTGTCAGGAAGCCAGAGACTAAATGAGCTGAGAGGCCAGTCAGGGAACTGGTTACAAACCATATGGTGCTTATTTTTGAGAATAAGAAATCCACTACTTCTTCAAATTCGAAAACACCTCATGATTGTCTGATAAGAATCACATTGCACAATGTGTTTCACAGATCAATTGCACTCCAGTCAATCCCAAGGAAGAAGATACAGATACCTTCAAAACTTAAATTCTTTGCAAATACATCTGGATAAAGATCATGTTTCTTTAACATCCCTTCATATTATTATGAAGGCAGAACATCAAAAAAACCCATAAGAAAATTCTAATGCCATGCTCTGAAAACTAGTTGCACTGAATTCTGATCTTGAACACTGCACTCTAAGTTATTGTTTCTTTCTTTCTTTCATTGCATCATTGCAGGATAGCCATCTGGACATTGCAGTTGCCAGTTCATCCCATATGCAGCCACACA